CCATGACAGTCATGGGCAAAAGATAGACTTGTTAGAGGAAGAAAAAAATAACATAAATTTATTACAGACACTAACAACAACAACACTTAACAGACAGAGTAGGACAGTGAGAAGCATTACCATATCTTGAGAACACTTTTCCCCACCTCTCCTTCTTCCTGGTCTTAGCTCTGCTCCCTCACACAGCATCACAGGGGCAGGGAATGGGTGGGGTGCAGTCAGTGCTGCTGCTTCTTTCATCCTGAGGGCGGAACTTCTGGAACTTCTTCCCTCTGCTCCAGCATGGCCCCCCTCTCACTAGAGACACTCCTCCACAACTTTTCTCCAACTTGAGTCCCTCCCACAGGCCACAGTGTTTCCCTCACTGCTCTGGCGTGGAACACCAACTTTCTCAAATTTTAGTCCCTCCCATGGGCTGCAGCCTTTCCCAAGTTGTTCTGGCATGTGACACCCCCACATGTTGAAATCCTCTCAGAATCAAGCTACAACAGTGGGGGCTGCTTCTTCTCATAAGATACCAACTGCCTTTGGGTGCAGCCACCTTAATTGACTATATGAGGCTCCCCACAGGCCATATAGCAGCATCTGCTCCACCATAGACCTCCATGGGTGTCAGGGGGAATTGCCTTGTGGTTTCAGCACAGGATACAGGGGGTCTCTGCTCCGGCACACCTCCCCATCTTTCTTCCTCCATTCCTCCACTGACCTTGGTGTTCGACATAGATGTCAGAACTCCTCCTCACAAGTCCAACTCCTCCTCTCAGATTCCTTCTTAAACATGTTATCAGAGGCACAGCTGCCACTGCTAGCTGGCTTGGCCCTGGTGCAGAGATGGGTCTGACTTGGAGCTGAAGGAGCTTCAAGAACCTTCTCACAGGGGGCCACTGCTGTAGCCCCCCTCCCCTGCTACCCAAAAATCCCACCACTCACTCAAACCCATGACACAGGGCAAGGGATGATGATTCTAAAGTGAAAGAGGGTAGATTTAGATTGGTTCTAAGGAAGAAATTTTTCATGATGAAGGTGGTGGGACACACTGGAGTGGGTTGCCCAGAGAAGTTGTTGATGCCCTGTCAGTGGAAGTGTTCAGGGTCATGTGGGATGGGGCTTTGAGCAACCTGGTCTAGTGAAAGATGTTCTTGCCTATGACAAGGGGGTTGGTTTAGATAATCTCTGAAGATCTCTTCCAACCCAAACCATTCTATGATTCTACAGAGCACCAAGTCATACAGGCTCAAAAGAAGAGCCTTTAAGAAAGCATTTATCCAACACCAGAGTAGGAGAAAAATGAGTCCTTGTATTTTTGACCAACATTCTGAAAAATTTCTGTCACATCCAAATATCCCAGTCCACTGTGAGCAGTACCTCCTATCTTTTGTGTTTTAATAAATGTTATGTTTCCTTGACTATTTTTTTCAGGGAAAAATAGAAGGCAGAATTCATCCTGTCTTTTACTGGGTACATAATTGTACAAAGCTTCATATCAGAAAAAAAAAAAAAAAAGTGAAGATCTTTTTTCTTGAAGAAAATAATTGAAATAAGCAATGATTTTTTTTTTTCTAATAAGGTTTTCTGTTAAATTAAAGGAATTAAGGGGCACTTTCAAAATTATTTCCCCCTTCCTCTTCTCCACCTGACAATATTTGCAAGATCTCTTTGCATTTCCTCTGTTGCTGAGCCTAAAACTAACTGTCAATGATTGAAAAAAAAAAAAAAAAAAAAAGTCCAGGTATGTGGTCAAAATTTTAGAAGACAAGAAAAATGAGCTTTTAGAAAAGCATATAGAGTGCTCCAGGACTGTGCTGCTACATCACAGTTTTGGAAGAAGGATACAGGCCCAGCCTAAACCCAAGAGAAGGCATTTGCAAGGGACCAAAAGAATTTAGAGGGAAAGTTACTGGTGAACTGACTCTCTTATGAGTGAATAGAATGCAGTCAAATACAGAATTTGAAGGAAATATGTATGCTACAGAACTAATCCCCAGAAATTTGTCCTCAGTGGTATATGTCCTTCCCAACAGATTCATTTCTGTGACAACATAGTTCATAACCCACAGTCCAGCGTGGTGTCAGCAGGTGAAACCACCATGAAGATGAAACCACCAGTGCAAACGTTGGCTTCAAATCCACACAATTTTATATTCACACATATGACGTTGTTCTGCTGTTTCTCTTCTCTAGACAAAACCCCCTCTGAAATGTTACTACATCTCTCAGAAGTTTCTCACACTTTAGGTGCAACCTTGTCATACTAAATGAGCACCACTGACAAGCTCTTAAAACTGACATGCTGGCCACCCAGTTCCAAAACTCCACAAGGTGCTGTGTGATATTATATTATTGAAAGAAAAAAATTAAATAAGGCAAATGACTGCATTTTCAATCACAAGAAATAAACACCAGGGTCTTTTATTCTTTCCCACATTGTACTCCATGTTTGAACCTGACACTATCAAACTCATACCAAGAAAAAATCATTTTATGTATAATTAGTTTATCCCACATCACAAAAATCATGGTTTGGAAAAAGCCATGCCTTAGTTTATTTCCACAGTTCTGAGGACTGAATTGTTTGATTAAGTCACTTGAGTTATATTAATTTATTATAATAATTCCTGCAGCCTTACCTGTTTTTCATAAAGAAAGCAGACATACCATATTTTTTTTGTTGTACAACTGCTGATTCTGCCTGATAAAAAGCCTGAAGTACAGTGTAAAACTTATCACAAAATCAAACTCTATCTTAAAATAAGAACAAATAAATGAATGGGTTTGCCTTTTGTGCTTACTCAAAAGAAGTATTTTGAAGAAAAAAAATGGAAATATAGTTCATCAAAATATTAATACGAGGACACAGAAAGCTGAGTGAAACAGCAAAAGAACTTCTCTGTGTTCTTATGGGTTGTTGAAGGTATGTGCTGATTCAAGAGAGCTCGTTTTCACGTTAACGTTTCTGGTGAAAACACACTTTCTTTTACTTTTTATTAGCTACAAGTAGAGTTAAATAGGGCACTGCGCCCAAAGGTTTCATTATTTTTAAGAGATGAAGCCGAGTTACTTGTAACCCAGATACAGAGCTCGCAGGATACTCTGTGTTACTTGCTGCTTTTCAAAACTGATTTACGCTAAGAAAAGGTCTCGAGGTTACCTCCATTTTGCACTACCTCGATGAAAAACCGTCTCAGGAACATGAATCCGCTGCCAATGTGACAGTGCTGTCAGAAGCAAAGTTTTAATTTAAAAGGAAAAATAAAAATCTCACCGACCGGCTCTGCGTTCAATCCCCAAACTCGGGGATTATTGGCTTGCCTGAAACTCATTTAAACTCTCAGATAAAAAAAACGCCGAAAACCAAAAATAGGTTCTGTCCCCAGCAAGAATGCTAAGAAATGAGGTTCCGCGCTCACGTTTTTTTAGGAAAAACCCACTTTTTTGAGAAGGAAGAAACACAAGCCGAGCGGCAGAACTCCGGGCGGGGAGGGCGGGGCCGGCTCGGCAACGCACCAATCAGCGCCCGCAGCGCTGCTATAAATAGCGGCGCCGCCGCGGCTGCAGCAGCTGCAGCGCTCCCGCCCGCGCAGCGGCGCCATGTCCGAGACTGCGCCCGTCCCTGCCGCCGAGGCAGCGCCCGCCGCCGCCCCGGCCCCCGCCGCCAAGGCCGGGGCCGCCAAGAAGCCGAAGAAGGCGGCGGGCGGCTCCCGAGCCCGCAAGCCCGCGGGGCCCAGCGTCACCGAGCTGATCACCAAGGCCGTGTCCGCCTCCAAGGAGCGCAAGGGGCTCTCCCTCGCCGCCCTCAAGAAGGCGCTGGCCGCCGGCGGCTACGATGTGGAGAAGAACAACAGCCGCATCAAGCTGGGGCTCAAGAGCCTCGTCAGCAAGGGCACCCTGGTGCAGACCAAGGGCACCGGCGCCTCCGGCTCTTTCCGCCTCAGCAAGAAGCCCGGGGAAGTAAAGGAAAAAGCCCCCAAGAAGCGGGCGGCTGCGGCCAAGCCCAAGAAGCCGGCGGCCAAAAAGCCCTCCAGCGCCACCAAGAAGCCTAAGAAGGCGGTGACGGCAAAGAAGAGCCCCAAGAAAGCCAAGAAGCCGGCGGCTGCTGCGACTAAGAAAGCGGCCAAGAGCCCCAAGAAGGCGCCTAAGGCTGCAAAGCCCAAAAAAGCGGCGGCAGCAGCAAAGAGCCCAGCCAAGGCGAAGGCGGTGAAGCCCAAAGCAGCCAAGCCCAAGACGGCCAAGCCGAAAGCGGCCAAGGCAAGGAAGGCGGCGGCCAAGAAAAAGTAAGCTCCCGTGGAAGAGTTTTTTGCCCCGCAGTTAAAACCCAACGGCTCTTTTAAGAGCCACCCACTTCCTCTTAAAAAGGGCTGAAATGCTATTGTTCGCACCCGGTGGCGGGAAGGCGACAAGATTTCTTAAATTTGCTGAAATGAAGTGTGTGCGTTTTTTTTTTTTTTTTTTTGTTAGTATCCTGGGTAGGTAGTGGAAACGCCTTTATAGTCTTACGAGTCTGCCCCGTACGGGAGCTCCAGGCATGCGCCGTGATAGGGAGGAGCTTCACCGATTTAGGAGCAGCTGTGGCTGCAGCTCAATAGTTTTCCTGCTACCACAAAGGGGAGATCCTCACACTGTTGAGAACGGACGTTACTTTAAGGCACATTAAGTACTCAAGTCTTGAAATTAATTCCTCTGTACGGTTTTGTAGCCAGCATTTAACTCTTTCGTTTTCTCATCCGTGGGCGGTACAACACGAGCAGGGAAGCAGAGGAGAGGTTTTACTTGCTACAAGATTCTTTAACTGGTTGGGCAGGAGAAAATGTATTTTGTACTTTGAAGTGCAAGAAATAACTGAAAGACTTCAGGTTCTGAGACTATAGAGCACAAAAAATCAGTAACTAAGACATTTTAGAAGATTCTAGCATAGCATTTAAAAAGTAATTCATACAAATGTTGGGGGTTTTTAGGTGTTGCAAAAAGCCCTTAAAGTAATTCAACTCTTTACTGATTTAGTGGGTGGCTCTGAAAAGAGCCTTTGGGTTTCTCTGGGAAAAGCTTCCCGGGCGTTTTTCTTCGGTGCTCACTTGGCTTTCGCCTTGTGGCTGTCGGTCTTCTTGGGCAGCAGCACGGCCTGAATGTTGGGCAGCACCCCGCCCTGCGCGATGGTCACCTTGCCCAGCAGCTTGTTGAGCTCCTCGTCGTTGCGGATGGCCAGCTGCAGGTGCCGGGGGATGATGCGCGTCTTCTTGTTGTCGCGGGCCGCGTTGCCCGCCAGCTCCAGGATCTCGGCCGTCAGGTACTCCAGCACGGCCGCCAGGTACACCGGCGCGCCGGCGCCCACCCGCTCCGCGTAGTTCCCTTTCCGAAGCAGCCGGTGGACGCGGCCCACGGGGAACTGCAGCCCGGCCCGCGACGAGCGCGACTTCGCCTTGGCACGCGCCTTCCCGCCCTGCTTCCCGCGGCCGGACATCGCAGACACTCACCAACAGCTCCACAAAACACCAACCTGCGCCTCTTCGCCCCCGCCCGCCCGCTTATATACGGCTCGGCCGGAGCGGCTGCGCTCTCTCTGATAGGCTCCGGAGGAGGCGTTGTTCCGGCAGCCAATGGCAACGCGAATCCAAAGGTGCCCAATCGCAATGCTTAGGACGGTGTGACGACACGAAGGAGAACTCTCAACCAATAGCGTAGAGACGCTGCCGAGCTGCGGTTTGCGCAGCTCCGCTATAAAAAGGGCTCCGGCGCGGGGCGGCTTTACTCGCTCCTAGTTTGTCGTTGTTGCTGAGTGAGTGTCTGATCGCTGCGCGTTTGCTGCGATGCCTGAGCCGGCCAAGTCTGCCCCCGCGCCCAAGAAGGGCTCCAAGAAGGCGGTGACCAAGACGCAGAAGAAGGGCGACAAAAAACGGCGCAAGAGCCGCAAGGAGAGCTACTCGATCTACGTGTACAAGGTGCTGAAGCAGGTGCACCCCGACACGGGCATCTCGTCCAAGGCCATGGGCATCATGAACTCCTTCGTCAACGACATCTTCGAGCGCATCGCCGGCGAGGCCTCGCGCCTGGCGCACTACAACAAGCGCTCCACCATCACGTCGCGGGAGATCCAGACGGCCGTGCGGCTCCTGCTGCCCGGCGAGCTGGCCAAGCACGCCGTCTCTGAGGGCACCAAGGCCGTCACCAAGTACACCAGCTCCAAGTAAGCCGGCTCTGCGCTCCGTGGCAGCCCTGCTCGACCCAAAGGCTCTTTTAAGAGCCACCCACCTTTTCAGTAAAAGAGCTGATGCTGTGGCGATTTCTCGATGGTCCTAGATATTTCTCAGGGAAGGCGGCGTTAGTGCAATGAAAGCGCTGCCTGTACCCGGGGTGTACCTTTTTGCCGTAAGCCGTGTGTTCTACACCTGCCTCGGTGGGGTAGAGCGGGCTGACGATTCGCTGAAAACACGCGGGCAGCCCGTTTGGCTTTCGTTTCCGGCTTATGGGGCCGTTTCCCAATAAAAGAACGATGTGGTATTCTTTTTCTAACGTACCCGAAACAAGCCTGTTCTGGGGAGGCGGTGCTCGCTCCTTTCCCCCCCGGGGCACTTTAGGGGAAAGAGAATCCAGGGAAAGCGCAGACGGTTCAAGACGAGAGTGTGCTTTTTCTTCAGCACATGCCCAGGCCCCCCCCGCCCCGCTAGCGTCCTCACGGGCTACCGGGGAAAGCAAACCGGATCCCGTCACGGCGTTCTCGCCGCCGAACCGCGCAGCCCCGCCGGGGGTTCCCGAGCACGGTCTCCCCGCACCGCTCTGCCCCGCGCTCTCCCCGCTTCTCTCTCCGGGGCTCCCGTGGCCGAGGCTCGGTCCGACCTGAGTGAGGACTGCTCTGGCGCGCCCCAGCAGGCGGGCCCGGGCCCGGCCCCGGCCCCGCCCAGCGCAGCGGTGATTGGTCGCGCTCGCGGCTCGCAGCCCGTCCTCGCTTCACCCGGGCGCGCTCCGCCGCAGGGAGCCGGCCCTCGAACCGCGGCGGCCGAGCAGCGGCGTCACGGTCGCCTTGCGCGAGAAGCCGGCTGCCGCCCGCGCCCGCCGCGGCCCCGAACCGAGCGCGGTTACGGAGCGGGAGGAAGCCGCGAGCTCTCGCGGGAGGAGCCGGCGGCAGCTGCCGTGCGAAGGAGCCTTGGCGAGCAGCCCCGATGCCGGGGGGAGATCGGGAAGCGGCCCGAGAGCGAGGCGCGGGCGGCGGGACCCCGCTACACCGGTCACCCACGGTGGTTCCGGCCACCTCCCCGCCGCCCAAACCGCTGCTCCTGGGGACGGTGCACGCATTCCTCCTCAGACGGCGAGGGAGCCGGCGCTAAAGCGCTCCGCAGGGCCGGAAAAGGAGCAAGCGGCCGGGCCGGCGGAGGCAGCGGCGGGTGCGGGAAAGGCGGGCCGGTTCGGCGGGGGCGGGGCGGGGGCAGGGAAGGCGGGGCGGGTTTCCCGTCGGCGGGGCGCGGGCTTTTCGACTGCTCGCGTCGCCCAATGGCAGCCCGGCCCGTCGCGGGCGGCCAATCGGCTGGCAGCTGCGGCTATAAGTGCCGTCGCGGCGGGGCCGCGGCCACGGCTCGTTGTGTGCCGAGCGAGAGCGCGGAGCGGCGAGTGCGGAGCGATGGCGCGCACGAAGCAGACGGCGCGGAAGTCGACGGGCGGGAAGGCGCCCCGCAAGCAGCTGGCCACCAAGGCGGCCCGCAAGAGCGCGCCGGCCACGGGCGGCGTGAAGAAGCCGCACCGGTACCGGCCCGGCACGGTGGCGCTGCGCGAGATCCGGCGCTACCAGAAGTCGACGGAGCTGCTGATCCGCAAGCTGCCCTTCCAGCGCCTGGTGCGCGAGATCGCGCAGGACTTCAAGACCGACCTGCGCTTCCAGAGCTCGGCCGTGATGGCGCTGCAGGAGGCGAGCGAGGCCTACCTGGTGGGGCTCTTCGAGGACACCAACCTGTGCGCCATCCACGCCAAGCGCGTCACCATCATGCCCAAGGACATCCAGCTGGCCCGACGCATCCGCGGCGAGCGCGCCTGAGCCCCCTCCCTGCCGCCGCCGTGGCCCCTCCCAGATTCCGGTAGAGGCCGGGGCACCCCATACAGACTCAAAGGCTCTTTTAAGAGCCACTCCATGCACAATAAAAGGGCTGTTAATGCTTGTTACATTACATTTTTTTGAGGGTTTATTTTTCTCACTGCCACCATGTGTTGCACCGTGGAGAGTGTATATAAGCAGTATAATTAATTCATAACCACATTATTACACCATCCGCCATTTCAAATGTAATGTGGAGAGAATACTGTACTGAGTGGGTTATGATAACAAAATCTAAAAGATTCTTGGTTACAGTATTACAGCTCCTTTTACTGTGTTTGTGGTGGCTCTTAAAAGAGCCTTTGGGCCACGGCGGCGGCAGGGAGGGGGCTCAGGCGCGCTCGCCGCGGATGCGTCGGGCCAGCTGGATGTCCTTGGGCATGATGGTGACGCGCTTGGCGTGGATGGCGCACAGGTTGGTGTCCTCGAAGAGCCCCACCAGGTAGGCCTCGCTCGCCTCCTGCAGCGCCATCACGGCCGAGCTCTGGAAGCGCAGGTCGGTCTTGAAGTCCTGCGCGATCTCGCGCACCAGGCGCTGGAAGGGCAGCTTGCGGATCAGCAGCTCCGTCGACTTCTGGTAGCGCCGGATCTCGCGCAGCGCCACCGTGCCGGGCCGGTACCGGTGCGGCTTCTTCACGCCGCCCGTGGCCGGCGCGCTCTTGCGGGCCGCCTTGGTGGCCAGCTGCTTGCGGGGCGCCTTCCCGCCCGTCGACTTCCGCGCCGTCTGCTTCGTGCGCGCCATCGCTCCGCACTCGCCGCTCCGCGCTCTCGCTCGGCACACAACGAGCCGTGGCCGCGGCCCCGCCGCGACGGCACTTATAGCCGCAGCTGCCAGCCGATTGGCCGCCCGCGACGGGCCGGGCTGCCATTGGGCGACGCGAGCAGTCGAAAAGCCCGCGCCCCGCCGACGGGAAACCCGCCCCGCCTTCCCTGCCCCCGCCCCGCCCCCGCCGAACCGGCCCGCCTTTCCCGCACCCGCCGCTGCCTCCGCCGGCCCGGCCGCTTGCTCCTTTTCCGGCCCTGCGGAGCGCTTTAGCGCCGGCTCCCTCGCCGTCTGAGGAGGAATGCGTGCACCGTCCCCAGGAGCAGCGGTTTGGGCGGCGGGGAGGTGGCCGGAACCACCGTGGGTGACCGGTGTAGCGGGGTCCCGCCGCCCGCGCCTCGCTCTCGGGCCGCTTCCCGATCTCCCCCCGGCATCGGGGCTGCTCGCCAAGGCTCCTTCGCACGGCAGCTGCCGCCAGCTCCTCCCGCGAGAGCTCGCGGCTTCCTCCCGCTCCGTAACCGCGCTCGGTTCGGGGCCGCGGCGGGCGCGGGCGGCAGCCGGCTTCTCGCGCAAGGCGACCGTGACGCCGCTGCTCGGCCGCCGCGGTTCGAGGGCCGGCTCCCTGCGGCGGAGCGCGCCCGGGTGAAGCGAGGACGGGCTGCGAGCCGCGAGCGCGACCAATCACCGCTGCGCTGGGCGGGGCCGGGGCCGGGCCCGGGCCCGCCTGCTGGGGCGCGCCAGAGCAGTCCTCACTCAGGTCGGACCGAGCCTCGGCCACGGGAGCCCCGGAGAGAGAAGCGGGGAGAGCGCGGGGCAGAGCGGTGCGGGGAGACCGTGCTCGGGAACCCCCGGCGGGGCTGCGCGGTTCGGCGGCGAGAACGCCGTGACGGGATCCGGTTTGCTTTCCCCGGTAGCCCGTGAGGACGCTAGCGGGGCGGGGGGGGCCTGGGCATGTGCTGAAGAAAAAGCACACTCTCGTCTTGAACCGTCTGCGCTTTCCCTGGATTCTCTTTCCCCTAAAGTGCCCCGGGGGGGAAAGGAGCGAGCACCGCCTCCCCAGAACAGGCTTGTTTCGGGTACGTTAGAAAAAGAATACCACATCGTTCTTTTATTGTGAAACGGCCCCATAAACCGGAAACGAAAGCCAAGCGGGCTGCCCGCGTGTTTTCAGCGAATCGTCAGCCCGCTTTGCCCCACCGAGGCAGGTGTAGAACACACGGCTTACGGCAAAAAGGTACACCCCGGGTACAGGCAGCGCTTTCGTTGCACTAACGCCGCCTTCCCTGAGAAATACCTAGGACCATCGAGAAATCGCCACAGCATCAGCTCTTTTACTGAAAAGGTGGGTGGCTCTTAAAAGAGCCTTTGGGTTGAGCAGGGCTGCCACGGAGCGCAGAGCCGGCTTACTTGGAGCTGGTGTACTTGGTGACGGCCTTGGTGCCCTCGGAGACGGCGTGCTTGGCCAGCTCGCCGGGCAGCAGGAGCCGCACGGCCGTCTGGATCTCCCGCGACGTGATGGTGGAGCGCTTGTTGTAGTGCGCCAGGCGCGAGGCCTCGCCGGCGATGCGCTCGAAGATGTCGTTGACGAAGGAGTTCATGATGCCCATGGCCTTGGACGAGATGCCCGTGTCGGGATGCACCTGCTTCAGCACCTTGTACACGTAGATCGAGTAGCTCTCCTTGCGGCTCTTGCGCCGTTTTTTGTCGCCCTTCTTCTGCGTCTTGGTCACCGCCTTCTTGGAGCCCTTCTTGGGCGCGGGGGCAGATTTAGCCGGCTCAGGCATTATGACAGACTTTCTGCTGCAATTGCAGAGAAATCCGCCAGTCGGCAAAAAGAATCAGCGTACGCGCCCTCCTTTTATAGGGACGGTATGCAAATTAAGGGTTCCTCCAGACTTAGTTTTCATTGGCCGAGGGAGGATTTACTCATTTGGCCGTAGTTCATCGTCATTGGTTAGAACTCGATCCACGTTCCCATTGGCCACTTTTGCAGTGTCACCTTCTCAGCCTATCGAAATCCACTACTTTGGCTGAGAAGGGATATAAGGGCGAGTTGGGGAACCACATCTGTTACTGTACGGTTCTTCCTGCTTAGTCGCAGTGATGTCCGGCCGCGGGAAGCAGGGCGGGAAGGCGCGTGCCAAGGCGAAGTCGCGCTCGTCGCGGGCCGGGCTGCAGTTCCCCGTGGGCCGCGTCCACCGGCTGCTTCGGAAAGGGAACTACGCGGAGCGGGTGGGCGCCGGCGCGCCGGTGTACCTGGCGGCCGTGCTGGAGTACCTGACGGCCGAGATCCTGGAGCTGGCGGGCAACGCGGCCCGCGACAACAAGAAGACGCGCATCATCCCCCGGCACCTGCAGCTGGCCATCCGCAACGACGAGGAGCTCAACAAGCTGCTGGGCAAGGTGACCATCGCGCAGGGCGGGGTGCTGCCCAACATCCAGGCCGTGCTGCTGCCCAAGAAGACCGACAGCCACAAGGCGAAAGCCAAGTGAGCACCGAAGAAAAACGCCCGGGAAGCTTTTCCCAGAGAAACCCAAAGGCTCTTTTCAGAGCCACCAACGGATTCAATAAAAGAGCTTGAATTTCATTAAATAAAGTAGCAAAAATCTGCGGCGCCTTTTGAAGTGGCCACCCGAGGCTGGTAACGATGCTCCCGCAGCAGGTGCGGGGGCCGCCCTCCCCGGCCCCCTTTTTTCCCCTTCGTGGGGCGCTGCCGGGGCCGCCGCCAGTCCCCGCCCCCCGCAGCCTTTCTGAAGCCCCCGGCGCGCTGCTTCACTCCCCAGCCTGGGCGAGGGGCGGCGAAGTTTAAAACGAGAGTCCTGTCTGGGCTGCTCCGCCTCTGCGCATCCCTGAACTGATACAAAGCAGTTACACTAGCGCGCTGCCGTTCCCTTGAACTCCTCCCCCTTGTCACCTTCGCCCAAAAGGGTGCCGGCCAGAGTTTCAGCCCTTTTAAGAGGAGGTGGGTGGCTCTTAAAAGAGCCGTTGGGTTTAACTGCGGGGCAAGAGCTTTCTTCCACGGGGACTTACTTCTTCTTGGCCGCCGCCTTTTTTGCCTTAGCCGCTTTGGGCTTGGCCGTCTTGGGCTTGGCTTTGGGCTTCACCGCCTTCGCCTTGGCCGGGCTCTTTGCTGCCGCCGCCGGTTTTTTGGGCTTCGCAGCCTTTGTCGCTTTCTTGGGGCTCTTGGCCGCCTTCTTGGCCGCGGCAGCCGCCGGCTTCTTGGCTTTCTTGGGGCTCTTCTTCGCCGTCACCGCCTTCTTGGGCTTCTTGGCGGCGCTGGCGGGCTTCTTGGCCGCCGGCTTCTTGGGCTTAGCCGCAGCCGCCCGCTTCTTGGGGGCTTTTTCTTTCACTTCCCCGGGCTTCTTGCTGAGGCGGAAAGAGCCAGACGCACCAATTCCCTTGGTCTGCACCAGGGTGCCCTTGCTGACGAGGCTCTTGAGCCCCAGCTTGATGCGGCTGTTGTTCTTCTCCACGTCGTAGCCGCCGGCGGCCAGCGCCTTCTTGAGGGCGGCGAGGGAGAGCCCCTTGCGCTCCTTGGAGGCGGACACGGCCTTGGTGATCAGCTCGGTGACGCTGGGCCCCGCGGGCTTGCGGGCTCGGGAGCCGCCCGCCGCCTTCTTCGGCTTCTTGGCGGCCCCGGCCTTGGCGGCGGGGGCCGGGGCGGCGGCGGGCGCGGCGGCGGGGGCGGTCTCAGACATGGCGGCAGCGCGCGGAGCACTGGGCGGCGGCCGCGGCGGCGCCCCCTTTTATAGCGGCGCGGCGCGCGCTGATTGGTGCCGCCCGCGCGCCCCGCCCCGCCGCCGCCCGGCGCTCCCGGCCCCGGGTTGTGTTTCTTCGGGGGTAATAAAAGGGGTTTTTTCTACTTTATCTGTCCCGGAATTGCCCCTTTTCCACATCCCGGAGGCCGTGGGAGTGCCTATTTTCGCCCAAAGGTGTCTCGTCGCGGAAAGGGAGGCGTGTGGTCACAGAGCGGCCGATAAATCCTGAGTCCTGGAACCGAACGGACCTTGTGAGAGTGAAAGTTTTGTTTTTCTTTGTAAATTAGAAATTCTCCTTTGAAGTTGACGTGAGACAGGAAACTCAGTGTTAATCTTCAGGGTGTCTTTTACACATCAGAGAAGAAAGAGGGCAGTTAGAATCTCATTCTTTAAAATAAAACGGTTTCAAAGAGAGTGAGGTAGCACAAACTCTCACAAGCCGTGCCTCCGCTTCTGCCGAGGTTTATACCTCTGGCTACTGCGAAACACTCAATGAGGGATTTTTTTTTTTTCCCCCCCTGTACTTCCAAAGCTAAAGTTTACCAAGTCCATGCATGAAATAGTAGATAGCATATACTTTATTTTCCTCAGAATGGGCTACTTTCTCTTCAACTCTTTGCTGCTGTTAATATAGCAAAAGGCTCTCTAATGTTACTAGAATAAATTGGTACACAAAGACCAAAAATGAAAAGGTGTTGAATCACGGAGGTTTGTGTAAGTCTCTGGCATACAGAAACAGGCCACACTCTAAATAAAGCACAGTGCTATATCTGTAAAATCTGTTGGTATGATTCAGTAATGTGGAAAATAAATTGTCAGAGATTGAGTCTGCAAGAGATGTGAATGCACCATTTTGTTCATATTTTGATGCCAAGCTAAGAAGAAAAATCACAATTTTGGCTCACTGCTCTTGTGCCAGGTTACAGATCAAGTCACAGCAGCTTCTGTACGTAAAACCTTGGCTGCAGCACAGAGATGTGCAATGCGATGACTACTCTGTTAGCATGCACACCTCCTTATCAGCTAAAACTTTGTATAAATTTTTGTGTCTCAGGCAGGAGTTCCTAATTCACTTACCCCAAAGTTGAATGGCCATCAGCCAGTTTAGCACCGTCATATTGCTGCATTTGTACCTGATGTATACAAACTGTACTTGCACAGTTTACGTACAACGCTGACCAGATGATCAAGTTCACTATTTCAACAAAATGCAAGATCTGTGAGTGGAAAAGTATCGCCTCACTCCTCTCTCATTCCACTACAAGAAAGAGAAATGAACCTATTGAAGATTTTGGGTGACCCTTTGTCTTCAATTAATTCACAAAGTCCCAGACTTTAAAACTTCATATAGGCAGTTTGACCTTTTCTTGTATATTTATGGTAAAAAGAACGTTAGGAAAATGAAAATATTTTTCTCTCCCACTTATCTTTTCTTTCTACGTCCTCCTCATCACTGAGGTCTCCTAGCTGAGAAGTTACCCCTGAGACAGGGAGGGTGAACAAGATGGCAAATTCAACAAATCTGGATCTGGGCTTTCAAAGCTGTGTTGGAAGTGAGATGGTTTATAGAGCAGTGTTCACAGGGAATTTTACAAAGGCAAGAGAACTCGACTGTAGCACGTTTACTTCATGTAGTAATAGGGGGCATAAGAAATCAAATAAGGAAATTATTAACGTCTCCTGCAGTTTCCTGAAACCAGGTGGATTACCGTATGTGTGCTCCATCCCATCTAGGTCTGGTAAAAGCCCTGATGTCCTTTAAAAACTAAACTTGTTACAGTATCTGTAAACAGAATCTTTTTATACTTACCAACTCTTTTCACATTACCAATACCAATACTTGGGGTTGGGCCTTTCTACCTCACAACAAAACAATTTCCCCCCCATTCTCTACAACTCTTATTTTGCAAGAGTAATAATGCAGCACAATAGCACATTTTCCTCCAATCTGTAATTTGACAGTCTCAGGACTGTTTTCCATACACACACATAGTCAGATGGAATACAGCTGTATGTCTCAATCCTGTATAGCAGTGATAACTACAACATCAGCCATCTCCAGAGGAAAAGCCTCTCGGTATGTGCCAGAGCAACACTGCAGCACGTTGTTGTAGTCCTTACCTTACTCCACATTTGAGGCTATCTATCTCCATCAAATGTTAAGTGGCCATTTGGCAACTTGAAGCTATTTTTTGTAACTATCTTCAGTGCTTCTACTTATTTGATTTTCCACTTATGCGTGTACTCCATTATTTGCTTCCCTTATTGTTAAGAAGACAATATATTCTCATGACCATTTCACAAACAAGCAGTCAATCCATGTGTATTAGGGGGAAAATGCAGAAGTACCAGAGAAGAATCAAGACATACAAGGAAAGCTGAGTACAGTATCATTTCGTCCAGTAGTGAATACACAAGGATTGTGGTTTACCCTCCTTCCCCAAATACTGCTATTCCTTGTGTGATTAGCAGCATGAAACACTTGAAGTTATGCACCAGAGGTCATCACACTAGTCATGATCAAGCTTAATTAGGATACATGGAAATAGTACTCATTTCCTTGCAATGCAGACACAGAAAAGGAGCAGATAGGGAGGATATTTGCTGGGAGACATTCTCCCTCTGTTTTATGCATTTGCCATCACAATTACAGCAAGGTTCTGCTGTCTCACCTTAGAAGAGGTGACCATCAAGAACAACAGGACCTCAGTGGTATTCTGTGCTGTTCGTTTCTACATGATCTGTCACTATGGACAGAAATATCTGGTATAGTAAACAAAAATCTGCCAGCAAATCCTATGGAATGTTTTGTTTGGGTTTTTTTTTTTTTTTTTTTTGCCAGTGCTACCAATGTGAACCAAATCAGACTGCAGGGCTAGATCTGAAAACCTCTTTAGAGAACTTCCCAGCCAGCATGAAAAGTATAGAATATTGTAATCAGTAACATATGCCTACTAACTTGAAAATATGTATAGTAATTCAAATCAGACTTAATTCCTGCAAGACAACAAGTAATTTTTCAACATCAGGGCAGTTTTCTATTTATTGCATGTCCCTTTTGTGATACTTAACCTGGCACTAGGTGACAGAGTATAGTGGCCACCATAGATGACATTACAAGTCCTAGGAAGAGCACCTTATAGAGGTTCAGTGTTCAGCTATTTATACACATACTGAGGATAATCCTTCCTGAACGGTTTGTTCCTTTTCCTTCCCTTCCTTATGACTTTTCCACATGGGTATCTAAATGCACTGCATTATTCATTTCACATTGCCATGCCTTTCCCAAACACATAAAGCACATCCCCATTGTGAAGATGGGAGAACTGAGAGTTATCTATCCACATCTCTTAAAAACAGTTACTTGAATCCTCAATTTTTGTCTGGTTCAGGTTTTCCACCTCCTGCTGAGACCCAGCTATACATGTTAACTCTCACCATTTCCTGTCAGCAGAAAAACAGTTCAGAGATGATTCATCTAATTTCATAGGGAAAAGAAAACAAAAAAAACAAAACAAGCAAACAAACAAAACCAAAACAAACAAGAAACCAAAAACAAACAAACAAACAAACAAAAACAAAACAAAACAAAACAAAAAAAAAAAAAAAAACAAAACCAAAACCCCCAAACAACAAAACCTGCTCCAAATGCAATGAATTCATTTGTTCATTTTAACTTTTAATTTGTCACAAACCTCAGCTCCCTCCCATACACACACATGCCATGCCAGGCCATCAGTCTGCAGGTGGGTCAGGATCAGGCCTGGTGAGGGGCTTTGGGGTCAGACGCAGCCCCAGCCCGGGGCATCGGGCACCCCCCTGGTGCAGTGGGGCTGTGGCCGGGCAGGGATGTGGGGAGCTGGAGACTGGCCCTGTTGCAGTGTCACTGGGGCAGACGCTGGTGGCCCCGGGAGGCTGAAATGAGGTCCTGGGACCTGGGCAGGGTGGGGAGAGCCCCAGGAGATGCTGGGGAGGGACAGGCAGGGCTGGTGGTGCCCTGACAGAACCCCTTCTTGGTGTAGCAGGGACTACAAAAGGCTCTCAAAGCTACTGCTTCATCAACCCTCTAGATCCAGACAATAAAGAGCAATTTTGGCCAAGTTCATGCAAATGTTGGATTATAGTCCTAGTAGAAAGAGAAGTAGATTTCAGTTATAACAAAACTCTACTGCCACTTACACTTAACATTGGATGTGGTCACCAGCTTTAGGTTCAAGACAGCAGAGAACAACAGTTCCTGCACCTCAGTTTAGTGATTCCCAACTCTTTTGTCATCAAACACAACAAAATGTGAGAATGGCTTGGCTGACTTGGTATAAGACCCACAGTTGGATATGAATCACCCTTCCACCTTCATTTCATTGACCATCACAGGAAACATCTCAAGAGGTTTAGGACTAGCAGCAGCCAGCTTCAGTTGCCAAACTGTCCTTCTAGATAAAAGCATTTCTATCCTCTTCAGGACAGTCACAAAACCCAGAAGGGACCAGTAGAAAGAGCTCCTTGTTCTACCTTTTAGCTGCTAGCTGGAGAAAATGCTGACCCACAGTTTTGGTCTGGGTGACAAAGTACAAGCCTCCCTAGTAACTGCTGGTGGGAATTCCCATCCTTTCCTGTCGCACCCTGAACCATGACATTCATGTCACAGGGGTGCCTCAGACAGTTTAATTTCCTCTAAGGCAGCTGATCTCAGACTTCTAGCTGACGTGCAGCCCTTGGGGCTCACCTGCTCCCCACTGGTGCCCACCCTGGCCAACAAGAGGATAACTGCCTTTACTTGCTATCAGCAGCGAAGCATATTAGCTGTTTTCTGATTAATCTAGACACTTAAGAGCTGCCTTTTGAACCTCTTTCACCTCTCGAGTGCTGTGACCCATGTTTTGGGAAAACACCTGCTTGCAGAAGAGCACTCATTGAATTTAGTCACCTCTGCAGCCTCCATGGAAAGATCCTGC